GCCAACAAATGCTAAGGAGATAAAATCATTTTTGGGTCTGTCAGGCTATTACCGACGTTTCGTTCCGAATTATGGACAAATTGCAAAACCACTCACGTCATTATTAAAGAAGGATGTTCCATTTTATTGGTCGGACCTTTGCCAAGAATCGTTTGACAAATTAAAAGCTATTCTCACCAAAGAACCTCTCCTACAATACCCTGATTTTGAACAACCATTCAATCTCACCTGTGACGCCAGCAATTTTGCAATTGGCTGCATATTATCTCAAGGACCAATTGGGAAAGATCTACCGATAGCATATGCATCGCGCACTCTAAACAAAGCAGAACAAAATTATAATACAACGGAGAAGGAACTTTGTGCAATAGTATGGGGAGTCAAACAATACCGACCATATTTATATGGTCAGAAATTCAAAATTATTACAGATCATCGAGCGTTAAGCTGGCTTTTCAACGTAAAGGACCCGGGGTCCCGATTAATCCGATGGAGGTTGAAACTGGAAGAATATGAGTATGAAATCCACTATAAGCCAGGTGTTAGTAACACCAACGCTGATGCATTGAGTCGAATCAGAACTGTCACGACTAGATCCAAAACCAAGTCAGAACCTCCAAGACTAGAAGATAATGTAACGTCTACAAATGGTTCCGACAAAATAAAAATCGTAGATTCACCGGAAGTCTCAAACACTTCAGAACCTCTATGCAATCCAGAGCCTTCTGATGAATATTTTTTTTTTAATACCGAAGCTAAACCTACTACCAATGTTATGGAGCTAACAGGTAATATTTTCGACTCAGAATCTACTACATCAATAGCACATTGCATTTCCGCTGATTTTAATATGTCTCGAGGTATCGCCCTTCAAATGAGACGGAAATTCGGGCAGGTGGACCAATTACGGAAAGAACAAAAATCAGTTACTGATGTAGCCGTTATTCAGTCAGAACAACGAACAATATTTTATTTATTAACAAAAGAGCATCACTGGCAAAAGTCGACGTATCAAGCAATCTATAGTTGTTTACAGAAACTTAAAGAATTGTGTATGCAATTAAAAATAACCAGTCTAGCTTGTCCAAGGATTGGAAGTGAAGCAGATGGACTACAATGGGAAATCATCCGAAACATGTTTCGAAACACCTTTGGAAATTCGAACATCAAAGTCTGTATCTACACCAGAGATGAATTAACAGAAGACCAGAAAATACAGAAAATAAAAGAATTGCATGAAAACCCGCTAGGAGGACATCATGGATTAACTAGAACGTTCAATAAGATGTACGAAGAACATAACTGGAAGGGCATGAGAAAACAAATCAAACAATTCATAAAAAAATGTCCAAACTGTCAAAAGAATAAAACAGCGACAAGAACACCAAAAGAGCCTATGGTGATTACCAGCACAGCTACCAGAGCCTTCGAAAAAATATTCCTAGATGTCATAGGACCACTACCTCGTTCACATAGTGGAAATGCTTTCATCTTAACGTTACAAGATGATCTCACTAAATTCGCATGGGCTTCCCCCATGGAGAATCATGAAGCGAATACGGTAGCACAACATTTTGTGACCAAATTCGTGTGCTTACACGGAATACCGCAAAGTCTGGTGACAGACTGTGGTACGGAATTTTTAAGCAACGTTTTTAAAGAGGTGTGTAAACTCCTAAAAATTAGACAGACGTCGACCACACCTTACCACCCTCAGAGCAATGGCAGTCTCGAAAGAAGTCATCGTTCTTTAGCAGAATATTTACGAAATTTTATCGGAAAAGACCAACTAAACTGGGATACTAGAATCCCATATGCGATGTTTTGCCATAACTCCACTGTTCATTCAGCCACGAAATTCCAGCCATATCATTTGGTTTATGGAAATTCTGTAAAAATCCCCACATCTTTCACTAACGAACCAGAACCTCAGTACAATTATAATGACTACCAATTCGAAGTCAAAAGACAAATGCAAGAAGCTCAGGCTTTTGCAAGAAACAATTTGCTGGAAGCAAAAAGCAAGTCAAAGGAACAGTACGACAAGACAGCAAAACATCAAATTTTTGAAGTCGGTCAGAAGGTTTTACTACAAGAAAAAGCCGCGAAAAACAAACTGGCCCCGAAGTGGTTGGGTCCATATGAAATTGTAGATGTAAATCCAACAAATAAAAATGTAACCATAAAAAAAAATAACAAGAAGAATCAGACCATACACCAAAATTTACTAAAGTTATTTCACGAAAAATGAAACGAGAAAAATGAATTTGTTCCAGGAAACCCATCATGGCATTCGCTGGAATTTCCAAGAAAAATCCGTCATTCTCGAAAATGGTAATCCTGATAATGTGGATATGGGATAGTACATCAGAAGCTCAAGAGAATTATAACATTACTACCTTCCCGGATCACAAAGGATTCTATTATGAATCTCACGGAATGATCAAAACTTCTCACACTAAATGGAACTTGGTAACGTATGTGGACATTGGAATCTTGACCACAAAATATGATAAGTTGATGACCCAGTATAGCGAAATGGAGACAATTTGTAAGCAAATGATAGCAAACTTTGGTAATGCAGAAATAGAAAACATTTGTAATCAATTCGTAAACCAATTTTCTACTACAACCCGTCCATATTTATATGAAATTCAGTTAAATCGTCGTAACGCGATGTTATCGATATAACTCAAATCATGAAATTCGAAATCGCCGAGGATTGGGAGGTACCTTCAAGCGCCTGATCAACGTTTTGTATGGTGCATACTCGAAAATCGACACCGAATTCATATTTAAACAGATCGTAGAATTAACCAAAAACAAAATTCAGAATATTAATTTAGTCAAAGAAAAAACAAGAGTTGTACAAGCAGAAATATTGGATGCAAATCATACTTCACAGGAAATCGCAGAACATCATCAGAAACTCGATAATAACTTGCAGTATTTACAAAGACTGACCAAAGAAAGTATCGTTAAAATCAATAAACTAGAATTTAAAAATAAACTGTTAGAGCAAGCCTTTTTATTCGAGGTAACTCTCAATCAGTATGCTTACGAAACACAAAACCTTATTGCCATTATAAATGCAGCACTGGATGGCAAGATCCACACCAGCGTAATTACCCCCAGAAAATTAATACAGGAGTTAAAAGAAATTAAAATCAACTTACCCATGGAAAACGACCTCCCGATAGAAGTAATACCTGAGTCCATGCCAAACCTTTTCAAAATCTCTGAAATAACGATTTTCGTGCAAAACGAGTACTTAATATTTTCTATTGAAATACCCTTGATTTCAAGTAAAGTATTAAATGTGTATCGAGTTGTTTCATTACCAATGATATATTCTACCAATACATTAATTTTAATTGAACCCGAAGTCGAATATTTGGTAATTAACAATGATAATGAGGAATTTTTCACTATGACAGGGAAACAGTGGGAATCATGTGTAAATTTAGACACTTACAAATTATGTAAAGGTGGTCAAACATTTCACCGCCGCTCGAGATCGAACGTTTGCGAAGTAGCACTTCTAACATATCAACCAATCCCAGAAACTTGCAAAATAAAATTTGTAACATTAACAACGTCCATTTGGGATAAGTTATTGGATTCCAATGCATGGTTATTTTACACACAACCAACTTTAGTGACCATCAAATGTGTGGAACCTCCACAGTCCACAAATAATAACATTTCAGATCTCAGGCGTAGGAAGGTTGACCACCTCCCAAGATTGTGAAATCCATACAGAAAATTCCATTATATTTCCGACCAGTAGATCTAATAGAGGTATCTATACTGATTTAATTCCAGAAAGCAAAAAACAGGAATCAGTATTATCAAAGAGTCTTAAAAATATAATTCCCCAGAACCTAAAAGACATAAGTATCGTACACGATTTTAATTCTTTATCCAAAAGGTTAATAGAAATAAGTAAGTTACCAAAGGTAACAACAAAGTCTCTAATAATATTTCAAATGGAATTTCATATGGTACTTGTGTATATCTTAATGTTAACTATAATATCCGTAGTTAGTGGATTAGCTATTAAGTTTAGAAACCGCATAATTAGAATGTACTCTCCGGATTTACCGGATATTTTATCACTGAATAATAAGTAAACATTATAATCATAAATTTAGTTATGAAAACATATTGTACGGAACATTAGGGAACCATTAGGTCCCTAAGTTCCATTTAAGTTGGGGGGTGTTAAGAACCCCTGGCTATATTAGTTAGTATATATATATAATAGTGTATAATATAATATTGTACGACGGCGACTGTCTGGAATTGCTGCGACAGCAATTCCAGGCAAGCGCTGGCTACAGGCACGGCTCGTATAGCAAGCCGTGCCAGTGGCATTTCAGAGCAGTAGACGGAACATTGTGATTCGCGCCAGAACATTATTATTGTCAGACCATTTTTTATAAAACATTAAATAATTCATTAAGAGTATTGTAAGTTTTTCTTTTCAAGTTAAATATAGAAAGTAACATATAGTTCGAAAGTGCTCGTTGTTTTTATTTGTGCACGGACCTCCAAGGAGATACGTAACACAACAAAGAAGAACTAAGTAGGTAAGGTTCAGTTGTACTGTAGGTTACAAATGGGTCACTGTAATGCAGGGGTCGGCAACTGGCGGACCGCGGTCCGGATCCGGACCGCGGAAGGCAAAACTATGGACCCTGTCAACACGTCATTGTACTTCATTATGTTATTTTCTGTAATAGTATTATTATTAATACAGACATTTATTTTATTTTATTTATCAAACTCAGATTATAGTTATATCATAATTCATTGAAAAATATTTTATCGGGCAGGTAATAATCGGTTTTATTACAATGTTATCGGCCGACGAATAAATATATTTAAAGGCGACATTGAACAAAAAAAAATTCATTCACTTTCCCACAATATTTGAATGCAAAAATCATTCTGAAATTATAAACATCGAAACATTTTTAAGTTTTTTGTCAGATCTTATGAAGGAATTCGATGCTAGATTCAAAGACTTTTCTGAAATAGGAAAACTATCACAATTCTTAAAAACCCCTTACGATGTTCTCCCAGACGGAGAATGGACTGATGTAGCTGAAAAATTATTTAATCTTTCAAAGTCAAAACTCCAAATGGAAATAATAGACCTACAGGAAGATGTTTCCTTGAAGCAATACAGAAGTGCGTCAACTGAAGAATTCTGGGCTAAAGATGCCATTGACAAGTATTCAAACTGTAAGCAACGGCAATCAACTTGGCTACGATGTTTGGTTCGACATACATTTGTGAGGCATCGTTTTCAAAAATTAATTTTTTGAAAAACAAATATCGGACAAAATTAACAGACTCTCACCTTGAGGACACATTGCGTATAAGCTGTTCTCCACGAGTTCCCGATTTCAAAAAGCTGGCTAAGGAAAAGAAATGCAATTTTTCGCATTAAATAATTTACTGTAATAAATATATTTTTATTCATACTTTTAATATTGTAATTTTTAATATAAATTAATTGTAATAACTGAATAATTATTTTTATTTTTATACTGCTATTTTTAATATATAAAGATTTGAAAAAGATTTTTTTCACTGGACCTCATTGATTTATTATTTTAATCTTTAGGACTCCAATAGAATATAGTTGCCGACCCCTGCTGTAATGGATGGTGTTAAATTTGAATTCAATGATATAATATCATTGTATACAGAAAATGATTCTGAGCGATGACAGTTTTTTCAGCTTAGGATATTTTACATTATTATTATTAATAATACGGTAGCCGGTTAGTTGAATTAATATATTTGGATATAATAATATACTTTAGAAGTTTGAAGAAGTGTCAACGGTTATTCGTATTTTAATTACAATAATATAAAAACATTGCTACATGAGAAATCGAGTGAATATCCATTTGTTAACAGATATACCATTTCATCCAATTATAATTATTATATTTTCTTTACAATTTAAATAAGTTATATTATTTACTAAACAATATCTAATATATTGAATAATAATATAAGTAATATTTAATACGTTAGCCAAACTTACAAAATATAGTATACATTTAATGGGATATTTTAGAATTAAAAATCGTATGTGCCACATCAAAGAGATTATATAAATCAAGCCCGGATTAAGGATCAATTGGGCCCCGTGACACCATACACTTAGTGGGCCCCCTTTCAACTTTAACTTCAAAATGATTGTATTATTACATATTAACGACTTTATATTATTGCATAATTTTTTACTATACAAAAAATATACAGAGTGTATCTTATGGCATAGAACGTGGGTTTTTTTTTTTAACAATTATGGATCGATGATATGGAATTTCGTTAAAACAAAAAAACGAGTTTCTTTATTTGTAACAGGCATTTTCTTTATAACATTTTCATCATTTTTATTTGAGTTAAAAGTATTTATGCATATTATACTAAGATTTCGAGGACCATAGTTAATAAGTAATAACCTAGCAAACTAAAATTAATCATTTGACTGTCAAAATGTTCAGACGAAAAGCTTTACCAGAATCCATGATAAAATATAGTGGTTAGGAGGCACCATTTGAAAAAAATAAAGTCTATTTTATTATTGGTACAACTGCGTGTCTAATTTACAAGAGCTAAATATTTTTATCTTATAACTACCTATACATATGCTTAAATAGTTAAATCGAAAATGAACATAAATTATACTTACCAATATCGTCTGTAAAAAAATAATATATAATATACGATCGTTATTAATAATATAATTATCAAGAATAAGGGATGGGGGGGGTCAAGGGGGGCCATAGCCCTCGGGCCTCGATAGTTAGAGGTTATTTAGGGCCTCAGATTTGTCCATTACTTGTTTCATTATCCGCTTTAATAATATTGCGTAATTGACCTAAAAAAAATCGATGACGATTTAGAAAAAAGCTTGTAAATTATGATTTATAAATAAAATAATACATTATTTATTATTTATTGCTATGTACCTAATACCTATATATATTTATTATAACAGGTACCTAATAATATTAAAAATATATACATTTTTTTTTTTTCGTACAATGGCCTCATTTAAAATTTTGCCCCATAGGCCTCAAAATGTCTTAATCTGGGCTTGATAATTATATATGTTAAAGATAATGTTCTAAATCAGTTAGTATATGAAATAAATAAAACGTGTAAGTAATATATTATGTACCTATATAAATTATAATTTATACTTTAAGGTGTACTTAACCCGTCAGTGGTCCCGATGTGAGCGCGGCGCTCACCTCGATAGTATTTTGAGAGCCACTTATTTATTTATTACTTGATTCATCTGATACTATTTATTCCTTCAATCGGCAAATGTTTTAATATTATACTTTTGCAAATATAATATTTTATAAATAAATCTTGATTAGATATCGACATGCAATGTTGTTAATATCCATAAAATGAGCGTTGCACTCACTCAATAGATCACTGATCAACCAAATACTTTTTCGTCAACTCCGACCTATTTTTAAGGAGCACACAACATTCATATGCGTACTGTATAATAATCAGCAAAATACTCCAGACCACTATAGGGCCAATATGAATGATAATTATCATATTATTATATAATTATGTATAAAAAATTATTAACTAATTTTTAGTGGTTAACAATTTATAATCAAGAAAAATTGTAAGACAATTTTTTGTAAAAGATTAAAATACAAATAATTTGTAGTTGGTTTCAATATTTTATGTTCATTATATAATAAATAAGGATGAAAAAACAACGAGGTTAGCGCAGCCCTCACTCAATACCAATGGCGGGGACTTTGCACAGCAATACCAACGACGGGTTAAGGTTGTTATTTTATACATTCCAGTGGCACACATTAATGTGTCAAATTGTACAATATTGTTATTTTACTGTCCAGCATAATAATAAATAAGATAGGACTGACGTCCTTGTTAACCTTATTTTCTATTCAAATATAGAAACATTATAATAACTGCAATTGAAATTTTCAATTTGAACGTGACATTTTTGAAAAACAACTTCTCATATTTAAAGAAAGACTATACGAGTAAAATGTACTCTAATACTTCTGATTTTTATATTAATGTCTACTTATCTATAAATGGTCATTTATGCTAATGGACGAAAGAATTAATTAAATAAGAATTAAATTATTTAATACTATATTATGTTTATACAATTTTGAAATTTCACACAGAATAAAATATTACATTTTAATAATATAAAAAAAAACAATAATGTACGTACAAACCCAAACTTGAAAAAATAAAACAATAATAAATAACTATAGAAAATATTTATAAAATGTGGATAGTATTTGAGAAAATACCATTAAATTGATATAATATACTAGGCAAAACTATCACATAAAGTAATACTATAGCACACAAATACGCAATAGTTAGGTATAATAAAAAAACACAAATCGTACGTACTGCATAAGTTTACTAGATGAAAAACAAATAGGAATAGTTAAGTTTTGATTTCATATTAATTGGAATAACACTTATCAAACCTAATATGAAAAAGATAGGAAAAAAGACACTACTCTGATCTACTGTGTCTAGAGTGGTAAACATAGCAATTTATTTAAAGAAATTAAATTGCATTTTAAAATATCATAGTGTGTACAGTACTGTACACAATATAACAACATACTTTAAAGTTTCAATTACCTACGAATAATATTTTTAAATTGCAACAAAAGCTATTAAAATTGAACATTTTATAAATTATGACTACGGAATAATTTACAAAGTTGTACAGTTTTTGATGGATTTTTGTCAAAACTTAAATTCTTGAAAAAAATCCACGCCTATGTATTTTTAATATTTTTGAACTGATATTATAAGCTTATCAGCAATTTTGTGATACATTTTCAACCATTTTGACCCAACGAAAAAAATCTGTGCAATTTTTATATTGCATGCCATATCTTAGAGGTTCTGTCCATAGGCGCAACTAGTGGCCAAACACTGAGGGTGCTATAATTATGTAGAGAACACAAACCCACGGGGGCTAAGCCCCCACACTCCAAAATAACATACTTTGATTTTATAATTACTATAACCATTCCTAAATGCACCATGAACACATAAAGACACTAATAATTAAGTAAATCAACAGTAATATACCTGATGAATACATGAGGTATATTATATTATTTAGGTGATAAAAATAGTAACCTGGAAGTATAAATGGATAAAAAAAAATGTGGTCAAGTGGGTACCGCTTTGCTGTACAATAGTTGTTGAGAATGTCACTGTAGTGGATGTGTTATATTTGAATTCAATTTGAAAAATTTTCTCATAAATAGCTATAAATAGTTCATAAAAAGTCAAAAGTGTTTAAAGAATTTACGATGCATGGAAAATGCTAATGTAAATATTTGGTGAACATTACAAGAGTCTACGGTTATTCATTTTTGAAATACAACAAAATCCAAAAAATCGATTATAAGTTCGAACACTCATAAAAAATTCAAGTTTAAGTATACCTTTTTTTTTATAGGTAGACAAACTTATGTGAAATCTTTTATTAACATTTTTAATCTTGGGCCTTAACTGTGAAAAGAAAATCTTTTATGAATTGCTAACTGAAAAATAATTAAAAATATTTGAAAAATTTCTCAGTTATACATACCTTAAAAAGAGTCAAAATTGTTTAAACATTTTACCATGTAAGGAAAATTTTAATTTTAACATTTGATAAAAATTTCAAGTATCTAGGATTATTCGTTTTTAAATTACAACAAAATACCAAAAATTGATATATGAAATTTCGGTAATTTACTGATAAAAATTGAAAATTCAATGTTGTACACATTTTAGATTCAAACGCTCATAAAAAATGTATGTTACTTTCCAGTAAACTTTTTTTTTTTTTGAAGATAGTACCAATTGTGAGGAGTCTTCTATCAACATTTATAATGTTAGGTATGAAAAGAAAAACTTTTATACATTTCTAACTGAAAATTTCCAAAAAAATTTGAAGAATTCTAATATTTGATATACCTATAATCATTACAAACAATAATTTGTCTTTCTGCTAAAAACGAAGAAATAAAAAAAAAAAAAAAAAAAAAAAAACCTTAAGTAAAGCTAAAAACTAATTTTTTCATATGATTTTTCAATTTTTGCTGTTTTTGAACTGGGGGTGCTAAATTAAAGTTTGGGGGTGCTGAAGCACCCCCAAGCACATATGCGCCTATGGTTCTGTCCAAATGACACGGTATGATTAAATTTACTCTAAAAGAATTACTTTACTATAATTTAACTTCCACTGAAGAAACAGGCTTTTATTACATAACAATAAAATATATAATTATTGGAGAAGGAAAGAATTAAATATAAAATAAAAAGTTTGTATGTTTGGTTAATATCAAGTGCAATCACTTGATTAACCAAACATACATTTTCCATGGTATGTGAAAT